GTCATGGCTTTAAACCGTTTAAAATGTGAAAATATAAGAATACATTAGAGGATAATGAGCCTAAATTATGGGTAAAACATCCACTGTAGTTAAGGCATCAAGCACAAACCAAGTCATTGTGGGCTTGGGTATAAATCTATAGCTGTGCTCATATGTGCACAAAAATACTGCAGACTTACCAGAATTTTCAGGGTGAGTTGCAAGATTAAAAGACAAAAAGTGGAAATGTTAAACTTGACTTTCCCGGGACCTTTTCCTTCTTATCTCATAAAAATCTTAACGATTAAGTCACCTAGAAATTTGCAGAATCTGTGATCTAAAAAGTCTTTGTCTGGATGTCAGCAGATGTTGCTCCTAAACCTGTAGATCTTGTTCAGTATTAATGGAGCTTTCACAGATGTGGAAGACACCCATGACATGGACTCTGATGATCCCCATACCATCAGGGATGGTGGCTTTGGACTGTGAGCCAATAAAAAAGCTGTTTCTCCATCTACTCTTTGGTGCAGGGGTTGTGGTGTCCATGACTTCCAAACAGATTGTCAAAGTTTGATTCGCCACAGCACAACCTTAACCACAGATTTCCACTTCCCCTTATTTCCTCTTTGCGTGGTTCAGTTTTAACCTCATTTGTGGATGCAGTAATGAACTTTGTTCACAGATTATGAATTTTTTTTAGTGATTCTGTGATTTCCGCATCAGAGTTCTGTCTGTTTTTTAATGCAGTGCTGCCTGAGGGCCTGAAGATCAGGACCATCCACTCTTGGTTTTGGTCCTTGTCCCTTTAATACAGAGATTTCTCCAGATTCTCTGAATCTTTGAATGATATTCTGTTCTGTAGATGACGAAATGTTGAACTCATTCTTTCACATTCAACACTCAGGAACATTATTCTGAAATAGTTGAACTATTAGCTCACACAGTCTCTCACAGAGTGGTGAACCTCTTCCCATCTTTTCTTCTGAGAGACTCAGACTCTCTCAATATCCTTTTTATACTCAGTCATATTACTAACCTGTTGGACATTCATCTCATTAGTTGGAGACGTTCCTTCAGCTGTTTTTTAGCATTACAACTTTTCACCTATTTGCTTGTTCCCTCAAACATTTTTTAAAACATGTTGCTGTTATCATATAAAAGTTAAACTTTCTTTCATGAAAAAATATCAATTTTAAGTTTCAACTTTTGATTTCTCATCTTTGCACTATTTTCAGTATAATATAAGGTTGTAATGATTAGCAAAGCCATCAAATGTGTTTTTATCAACTTTTGACACAGCCACCCACTTTTTTGGAGTGTAGTTGTACTCGTCGTGCTCATCTCAAGGAGTCATTGTGGGTGTATTCTCATTTTCAAACACATCCAGCATATATTTGATAAAATGTATACATCCACAAGAACAAGATGGATAACAATCAAAAAAGTTGCAAAAAAATTGAACAGGAAGAGGAAAACCAAACATGGTGAAAGAGCATTTTGATTCAAGTTAATCACAGTTTCAAGTGAACTGAGAGGGGTTAAGATTTAGTCAAATGAGCTTACTGCTTGATGTTACTCTTAAAAAACTGTTTAGATTAAAGGCATGGGGGACAGGATCTCAATACTTCAAAAATCTTTACTGCAGCTAATCTACAAAAAAATAACAAAGAGACGTATTTAAATTAATGCCCGTTTCTGTCACTGTGATGAATTACACTCAGATCTACTGCAGGCTGTATAATACAATTCTGATATAAAGGATGTTTATGAGGAAACAGTCTGCTTAAGTCATGTGTCTATAGTCAAAGCTGATTAATTCCTGCTCAACAACGAGGACTGTACTTTTTGAAAACACCTGATGTTGACTTTGATCTTGTCTGTCCTTTTTCTCAGATTAAATTTAAGGTGTTAGGAATCGAACAAAGGCCAGGGTCCAAAAATGCAGAGGCAAATGCCCAAATTTATTGACAATAAACAATAGAACAAAGTAACAACAGAAAATCGCTGTTTCTGGGAAAAGGCACGGTAGGCTCGGACTGCCACTAAAAAGACATAAAAACAGAGTTAGAAAAAGAGTCACTTCAGCAAGGCAAATAGCTGGTGAAAAAACAAAGTTCAAATGATAGTGCCACGTGGGGCAAGTAACAACTAAGGATGTAAAAGTCAAAGTGCAACAGAAAATTGTAAACCAAAGAATCTTCTCAACTAGAGGAAAAAACGTCAACACAAAATCACCTTTGCTCAAGGGAAAAACTCTGGAAAGTAACAAAAGAACTCACAAACAAATACTGAGAGGCAGGTTGGATACACGGGCGGCAGATCAGGGAGCTCGGCGTGGCAAAACACATGTTGCATAACTGAGAAATCATCCGGCAGTGAGTCGACAGAGGAGCTGGCATATAAGGCCAGGTAATTGACAACAACGAGAATCAGGTGCGTGCAATCAGTCCAGGCCAGCCCCACCTCCCGCCATTCCTCCAGCGCTGCAGAGAGAGAGAGAGAGGGAGAACACACAGAGGAGAGGAACACAGGAAACCCAACTGCTGCATAAACTCAAAACTTCACACAAAGTTAACAATTGCTGTAATAGTTCCTGTCAATATCTTTATATTTTTGTTAAGGTGTTAAAGGAATAATTTTAACTAAAATGACGAATTAATAAGGACGCGTGTGCTCCTCCAGCAGACAGAGGGCGCTGTTGTTAAAGCTCATAAAGATTCACTTAAATGAAAGTATCGTGGCCTATAAAAATTAATTAATTCATCAAATCATTTAAATCTTTATTTGAACAGGCGGCAGTAGCTCAGGAGGTAGAGCTGTCGTCCAATAACTGGAAGGTTTGCGGTTCAATCCCCCCCATCTCTAGTCTTTCTGTTGTGTCCTTGGGCAAGACACTTAACCCACCTTGCTCCCAGTGTGTGTCCTCCACTAGTGTATGGCTGTGAGTGGTGTGTGGTTGGAGAGGCCATAGACGCAAACTGGCAGCCACATTTCTGTCAGTCTCCCCCAGGGCAGCTGTGACTACTAAGGTAGTTTACCACCACCAGGGTGTGACTGTGTGAGCAAACGAATGACGTATCCAATGTAAAGCGCTTTGAGGGTCTCTGATAAAATGCAATAGAAAATCTGATACATTATTTTTCTTATGTTTTTCAGTTGTCCTAAGGCAATAACCCTTGTTTTATTTTGATGGTGATCCCACAGCTGATTGCTTTAATCTCCCATTTTGACTGTAAATCTACGCTCTGAGCTCCTGTAGCTGTACTGTTATGATCCTCAGGTGTGTTTGGGCTGACAGGTGTGACATTCTGCTTGTTTCTACAAATGATCAAACACACTCATGTTACTGTTTCCATCAGCTCAGCGTGTTAAAGGTCAACATAAACAGGACAGGTAACCTTTATTTGTTTTTGTGCTTTTCCCTCCTATCTCATGACCTCTTCTCACAGAGACCCCTCAGAGGGTCTTAACCCACAGTTTGAAAAACACTGACTTATCTCTACTCTGTCTCTCTAATTGACAGAATAAATATACAGCTTTTATTTTGAAGAAATATTAGATCTTGCTTTAAGAATTTCACACAGATTTAGCTTGCATTATTTCATATGGCCAGCAGGGGGCAAATACACAGCAGTCAGAATGTCCTCGAGAAATAAGTGTTATTCAGAGATTTATTTAGGGTTGCCAACTCCAAGAGATTGAAATAAGGGACAGTTAATCCTGAAAATTTTTTCGTGTCCCTTATAAAATTTGGGTGTCCCTTATTTCAGGCCGGGCCGAAAAATGCGGGAATCTAGGGTGGGTCAACAAGAATGCAACTAGAACAAGCGAGCCCAAGGCATGTACACAAACATTAATTTATAACCACAAATTAAACCTTAATTTGTATTTAATTTATAGACAGACTACACAAGACACATTCTTAATGTATCAATGAAGAATTTATTGAGTGCAAAATAATAATAATAAATCTTCATGGAACATATAGTGTAATGTCAACATATTGAAACAATGTTTGACTTATTCAAGAAGTCAAAGTGCAAACACTTTATTAACCTCCTTAAAATATTACAAACTAAAACATCACATTCTATTGTAAATCAGTAAACATGAGTTTTCCAGGTTTGGCCTTGCAAAAAACAAACCAAAAAACAAAGACTAACTTCTCTGGCAAGTTGCACCCCCTGTTGGCAAATCCTAAAACTGCCTATGGAACCAGAGAGGACATAATCACACACCCCTCGCTCTTGTTAACAACCCATATCTGGTAGTCTGCTTTTTTTTGCAACTCGTCCCATAGCTCAGCTGCCAAGCTGCTGATGTGAGCCTGTGACAGTGTGTTAGGCAGAGAGACGCTGTCAGAAAATACGGGAAAAGGAGTGTCCCGTTTTAGTTCATTACGGGACATGTCTTTTTGTTTTCAAATACGGTACGATCCCGTTTTTTACGGTATGGTTGGGAACTCTAGATTTATTCCCTCAGAAACATTGGTCCATCAGTTTTATGATCTCATTCTCTAGTTTTGTCCTCTTAAATAAAAAGTCATGTTAATTTGTTACATTATGGTCCCATTTGGAGAAAATTAGACGTCCAAATAGAGGGCACGCTTCGGGGTGTGACTACACAGTGATTGACATGCTATTTTAATAACAATAAAAAGCTGACATTGAATTTAGCCATCAGTTCTTGATGGTTTATTTATGATGCTTTTACAAAGGGGTCTGGTTTGGTAGAGCACTATTTGTGTTTTCATAGTCAAAGTTGGAAAAAGTACCCTAATGACCGATCTGAACCATCCGACTGTTTTTGGCACTCCTTCTTGGGGCAAGTCCCTAAACTGCAATGACTGAGATGAATTAGAGGGGAGGAGAGATTGTACTGAGTTTGCATTTTTATTCCACTTTAAGCCTATTCTCTCCTTGATCCTCCTCTTCATTATTACTTGTCCTTTTCACCTCCTTTACTTGCCTAAAAATCTCTCCGAACTTCCTCTATCTATCCTCAATAGTGGGCGGGGCTTCGCTCCGGTTCCCACCCTCGGGGAGGGGGGAGGGGGGTTGCTGATGCAGCCGTGTTTGCGGCGCTGTTACCCGGCCAGCCTCCCAGCTGTGACTCGCTGTGATTTCCTTTTTTCCTTCCTCCCCCACTATCGTGTCTCCCAGCAGGAGTCTTTCCTCTCCCTTTACGGCCGCCCTCTCCGGTAAAAGATGGAGCTCCAATCGACCCTCCACGCTCTGCTCTTCCTCTCTGCCGTCTGCCTGGTGCCGGTATTCAGCGCCGCTTCACGGACGGGACCGAAAGTCACCGAGAAGGTGGGTTCAGACGTTTGTCGCATTTTTTTGCATTAAAAACCGTAACTGCGTCTTAACTGAGCTCCGCGCGGCCAGTCATCATTTTATATTGAGGAGCTGAGCGCGCGACCGGAACGTCAGAACGACCGTTAGAAAGCGGCACGCACGCACGCACGCGGACACAGTCACAGATCCTTGAGACGGTTCGGCGTTAATAGAGAAGCTGGACCGTGACAGATCTAGCAAGACTGAGACGCATTCAGACACAATGATACACACAGACACACGCTGACACGTACAGACACACGCTGATACGCATTCTTGCATACGTGTCCATTCAAATGACAGTGCGCAGTGCGTAAGCCTTAAGGCAAGCACACACACACACACACACACACACACACACACACACACACACACACACACACACACACACAGAGAGACAGAGGACCTGACCTCGATTTAAAATCTGATTCATGGATCATATATGATACACCGGTCACTAAGTGATTGAACAAGTGAAACAGTACTGTAAATGATCTTGTAATTCACATATATATGTTTTGTAAATTAAAGTTTAAAGAAATTTTATACTGTAAACTTGATCACCCCCCCCCCCCCCCCCCAGATAGTCTTTCCTCTAAAGGTCTGGTTTTAACATTGTTTGTATAGTGGCCTAAAAGTACAATTACCCCGAACACTTTGATGAACACAAAATACATAATAAGTAAATAAAGAAAAAAGAAGCACATACACAATGATATTCTTGAAATGCAAAAACATTCAACATGATGCAAAAATATTTTATGTTATGTTAAAACTTTATTTCATGTTGTTTTTTTTTTTTAATTATCTTTATTTTGGAGATTTGGACAGCAGATCACATCACATTGCATGGAAAAGTCTGAGAACTAAATTACCTCTGCAGTCCTTGATTTTTGGATAGAACTGTACCAAGGTGGGAGGAAGAGTATGTACTCTGGAGTGGTGGGAGTGAAAAAGAAAAAAAAAAGAGAGAGATTTGGCGAGAAGGCCCAAAGGGCAGAGACAAAACAAGTCATGGATCATCCACAAAATCTGCTTGTGAAGGCCTTACATATTTAACCCACTTAGACCAGGGCTGAACAAAGCTATCTTTTTCTAGACGTAAAGAAAAGGTAATCTCTTCCATAATATGAATACCATTTACACTCTCAATCCATTCTTGTTTTGTGGGGGCTTGAGGAAGTTACCAGCGCCTCATAATGGCTTTTTTGCTGGCAGAAATCAGAATGCCAAACAGTTATTTATCAGACCCTCGGCCCTGAAAATTCATATTCATATTCAATTTTATTTGTATGGCACTTTTTGTACAAAACCCAATTCAATTGAAATTGGAAAATTGTGATAAACGCAAATAAAAACAGAATACAATGATTTGCAAATCCTTTTCAACCTATATTTAATTGAATACACTATAAAGACAAGATATTTAATGTTCACACTCACAAACACAACACGTGTCAAAGTAGTTGGGACAGGGGCATGTTTACCACTGTGTTACATCACCTTTCCTTTTAACAACACTCAATAAACGTTTGGGAACTGAGGAGACTAATTGTTGAAGCTTTGAAGGTGGAATTCTTTCCCATTCTTGCTTGATGTACAGCTTCAGTTGTTCAACAGTTCGGGGTCTCTGTTGTCGTATTTTAGGCTTCATAATGCGCCACACATTTTCAATGGGAGACAGGTCTGGACTGCAGGCAGGCCGGTCAAGTACTCTTTTACTACACAGCCATGCTGTTGTAACACCTGCAGAATGTGGCTTGGCATTGTCTTGCTGAAATAAGCAGGGGCGTCTATGAAAAAGACGTTGCTTGGATGGCAGCATATGTTTCTCCAAAACTTGTATGTACCTTTGAGCATTAATGTTGCCTTCACAGATGTGTAAGTTACCCATGCCTTGGGCACTAATGCACCCCCATGCTATCACAGACACTGGCTTTTGAACGTTGCGTCGATAACAGTCCGGATGGTTCTTTTCCTCTTTGGACTCGTCAGACCACAGAACACTTTTCCACTTTGCATCTGATTCTCTGAACCTTTTGATGATATTATGGACCGTAGATGTTGAAATCCCTAAATTCCTTGCAATTGTACATTGAGAAACATTGTTATTTAACAGTTCGACTACTACTCACGCAGTTGTTCACAAAGTGGTGAACCTCGCCCCATCCTTGCTTGTGAATGACTTAGAATTTTTGGGAAAGTTGCTTTTATACCCAATCATGGCACCCACCTGTTCCCACCTTACCTGTTGGATGTTCCAAATAGGTGTTTGATGAGCATTCCTCAAATTCCTCAGTATTTTTTGCCACCTTTCCCAACCTCTTTGTCACGTGTTGCTGCCATCAAATTAATTATTTGCGAAAAAAAAAAAAAAGTTTATGAGTTTGAACATTAAATATCTTGTCCTTGTAGTATATTCACTTGAATATGGGTTGAAAAGGATTTGCAAATCATTGTATTACATTTTTATTTATGTTTATCAGAATTTCCCAACTTCAATGGAATTGGGTTTTGTATAAGAATGCAATTCAAAGTGCCTCACAGAGGCTAAAAACAACAATAAAACCTGACTCCCCCACCCACACACACACCCATAGACCCACACACACAGACACACACCCACCCTCACCCACACACACAAGCACATAAAGTGAGCATTTAAGATATATTGCCAAAGAGACATGGCTTGACACCGCAAAATTACGTGAGGACAGAGCTACTTTTGGGAAACACTGGAGATAAAAAGATAAAAATTATAAAAAGAAGGAGTAAATCCTGATGGACTAAAACAAGAAGATAATATAAAATGAACAAATAAGTAAGAATAAAAATACATAAACACTGAGAACTTTGATTAAATTGAACAGTAGCAATAAGAGAAATATCAGTGAAAAGCCTGGTTTAAAAGGTGAGTCTTGAGCCTCTTTTTAAAAACATCAACCGTCTCTGCGGCCCTGAGGCTCTCTGGCAGGCTGTTCCACAACCGGGGACCATAGAAACTGAAAGCAGCTTCCTTGTGTGTTTTTGTTTTAACTTTGGGTAAGGTTAAAAGGCCTGTACTGGAGGACCTCAGGGTCAGCAAGGGTTAATATGATAAAAGTAAGTCAGATAAATAGGAGGGGCCAAGACCATTGACAATAATAAGAATAACTTTATTTTATCCCTAAAAAGGGAAATTCATTTTTCTGTAGTCTCAGTTGTCATGTGTCAAAAACTTCTATTTACAGAAGAGTTGTAAAGTCTGATGGCTGTTGGTACAAAAGATCTTCTGAATCTTTTAGGGATGCACGATATTTATCGGACCGATAAAATATCGGCCGATTTGGGGGAAAATTACGTCATTTTTTATCGGTCCGATAGGTGCATTTTTCCGATAGAAAGATCCGATATATTAATGAAATTACGAGTAACGTTTGCAGGCGGAGTAGCCGCCCGTCCGAGACGCGCTGGTTACGTAATCTATCGCGCCTTACTCGCAGGTCCCAAGCCTGACCCCGTCACTACCTGACAGATAATAAAATGTCTTCACCAGCATGGTCGTTTCTCTCAGTGGCAGAAGATGACAACAGCATTGCTATATGCAAAACCTGTTCAGCGAGGATTCCGAGAGGAGGAAAGAAGACGTCAAGTATTAACACAGCGAATCTGATAGCTCATCTGAAAAGTCGCCATCGCGGTGAAGCGGTATTAAAAGACTATGAGACAGCCGCCGAAGCTGCTAGCGGTACTAAAGCTAAGACAACAACACTACGGAGGATCGATGTCCCCATTCAGCAGGAGTTTAAAAACTGCAAAAGCTTCTCAAGAGACAGCGAAAAGGCTAAAGCCATTAACGACAAAGTGATGGAGTTCATAGCGGTCGACGACCAGCCTTTTTCCGTCGTTGAGAACCCGGGTTTTCGTAAGTTCATAGCACACTTGGAGCCACGTTACACTCTCCCAAGCCGCCGCTTCTTCTCGGATGTGTCTCTTCCTGCACTCTATGATATTGTCGCCACATACATTCACAACCTGATCGACAAGAACGGACTACACGTGAGTTTTACCACAGACATATGGACGTCAGATGTTAGTCCGGTCAGCATGCTAAGCCTAACGTCTCATAATAGCTCCTTTACAGTTTACAGTTCTGTTGAACAGTTCAGGGGATCAAATGAAGCTCTGCTTTTTGCTCTGTTATTGTTATTTATAGCAAATGACCACATTTGAAGAGCCAAAAACTTTTGTTTGTTGTTCTAGATAGGCCAGAGCAACAAAAACATCAGTTTTCAATCGCTGCATCCTGCTCAAATTGCAGATTATATGAAGATTATAATAAATGTAAAAATATGAATTTATCGGTTATCGGTATCGGTATCGGCCATGAGAAGAAGAAAATTATTGGTTATCGGTATCGGTTGAAATTTTTCATATCGTGCATCACTAGAATCTTTCTGTCCTGCAGTGAAGAGAGAGGAGCCGTCCACCACTATTGGCCCTTTGGTCCATTAAGGTGTTGTGAAGTGGGTGATCCATGTTCTTTAGAATAGTCTCCACCTTCCTCAGTGTAGATCTCTCCACCACATCCTCCAGTGAGTCCAACTTGAATCCAACCACAGAGCCAGCCTTTTTCACCAGTTTGTTCAGACGTCTTGCATCTTTGTGTAGCCCCCTATAACCCTGTAACCCCCCATAGCCCCCTACATCTAAAAACTAATAAAACCTTAACATCAATCATGAAATGGAGGGGTGCAGCAATGCTAAAACTGGGGTTATATGCTTTCACCCTGTGGCCCTCGAATTTTGTGATAATTGCAGGGCATTACAATCATCTAAACGACATGCATCAGCACCTCTGCGCTGGCTGGGAGAGAAACGGGTGTACTCTGGCTATATTCCTAAGGTGGTAAAAACCTACCTTTGCTATGTTTTTGATGTGTGGAATAAAACAGAGCTCAGAGTCATTTTTTTTTTTTTATTAAAAATAAGAACACTCAAATGTTGCATATACATAATTATTCACACCCTTTACTCAATACTTGGTCAAAGGATCTTTGGCAGCGATTACAGCCTCCAGTCTTCTTGTGTGTGATGCAACAAGCTTGGCACACCTGGATTTGTGGAGTTTTTCCCCATTCTTTCTTGCACATCCTCTCAAGCTCAGTGAGATTCGATGGGCAGCATCGGTGCACAGCTGCTTTAAGGTCTTTTCAAAGATGTTTAATCGGGTTCAAGTCTGGGCTCTGGCTGGGCCACTCAAAGACATTCAGAGACTTGTCCTGAAGCCACTCCTTTGTCTTCTTGGCCATGTGCTTAGGGTCATTGTCATGCTGGAAGATGAAGCATCGCCCCAGTCGAAGGTCTTGAGCACTCTGGAGCAGGTTTTCATCAAGGATTTCGATGTACTTAGCTGTATTCATTTTTGAAAAACATCCCCACAGCATGATGCTGCCACCACCATGCTTCACTGTAGGGATGGTATTGGCGAGGTGGTGAGCGGTGCCTGGTTTCCTCCAGAAATGACGCTTGGCATTTCTTAATGATGGAGACCACTGTGCTTTTTGGGATCTTCAATGCAGCAGATATTTTTCTGTAACCTTCCCCAGATCTGTGCGCCGATACAACCCTGTTTCGGAGGTCTACAGACAATTCTTTCGACTCCATGGCTTGGTTTGTGCTCTGATGTGCTCTGTCAGCTGTGGGATCTTATATAGACAGGTGTGGCTTTCCAAATCATATCCAATCAGCTGAATTTGCCACAGGTGGACTGCAATCAAGTTGGAGGAACATTTCAAGGCTGATCAGTGGAAACAGGATGCACCTGAGCTCAATTTTGAGTTTTATAGCAAAGGGTGTGAATACTTATGTATGTGCAACATTTGAGTGTCTTATTTTTAATAAATTTGCAAAATGTTATAAAAAAAGTTTTTTCGCTTTATCATTATGGGGTATTTTGTGTAGAATTTTTGAGAGAAAAAGGAATTTAATCCATTTTGGAATAAGGCTGTAACATAACAAAATGTGGAAAAAGTGAAGTGGTATGAATACTTTCCGGATGCACTGGATCCTGTTGTGTACAGTTCCTTTTTCATAAGCCCTTTGTAGAGTTTGGATATAAGCCCCCTACTCATATCATTTTGGTATGCCCCTGCAAATATCTTTAGTATTGGATCCTCAAAGTCTGTTTTACTTTTTATATTCTGTTCGAAATAGTTATGTATTGCAATAGTAAATTGCAATTGTAAATTATCATATATCTTATATTTTCTTCTGGTTTTCCTCCAGATTCTCAGTTTGGTTTGGATCAGAGGGTTTTGTATCAATTCCAATAACTCAGTAAGACTTTTGTGAGCCAACACTGCATGAACTGGAGAGTTATTCATATAGGGGAGTTCAATGTCTTTCCACCTGGCTTGAAATGTTGGGGTACAAATACTTATTAAAGGTTTGATCTGGGTAGCATAAAAGTAATCTGTAAAATCTGGGAGGGCCATCTCTCCTTCTTCCTTTTGGAGTTTTGAGGTTTCAAGTTTAACTCTGGGTTTTTTCCCTTGCCAGATAAATCTGGAAATACATTTTATTCAATTCCAAAAGATTTTTGGGTGGTATTTTTACAGGAAGTGCCTAAAATAGAAAGAGGTATCGAGGTAAAACATTCATTTTTATAGAGTCAACTCTATGACTTAAGCTAAGTAAGGAGATTGAGTTCCATCTTTGAATTAATGCTTTGGTTTTTGTCAGAAGGGGGCTAGAATTTATCTTGGCTAGCACATGGATTGTTCGTTGATAGATGTATTCCCAAATATTTCACTGAATTCTCGTCCCATTTTATTGTTGATTGTTAATGTTTTTGAGTTTTAATGTGTTTTAAAAATGTGTTATGTGTTATGTCATGTGTTATTTTTTTGTGAAAGATTTTTGCATATCATTACTTTTTGTGAAATATTTTCACATTTTATGATGTCTTTTGGTGTTTTGTGAAATAATTTATGTGTCATGATTATTTTGTCCTTTTTATGTTTTATCCCACAAAATACTAATAAATAATAATTTATTAAATACTTTTGTGTTTAATGACATGCTGTTGGTGTAAAACTGTCACTTGTCCTGAAATGTTTGCAGTTGGACCTTTAAGACTGTATTTCTGCCTGTTAAAAAGTGTTTCTCTCGTATGGTAATGTAGTGTTTGGTGTCATAACTGAGTCTTGACCTGCTCTCCATAGGGTGCCCTATGATAACACTCTTTGTGAGGTAAATATACAGGAGTCGATTTTTTTCTGATCGCCTATTTCACAGTTAAGTGTCAAATTAAGTTTGATTACTTTTATTAAAGAAAGTTAAATTTTGTATGCTTTTAATATATTTGAGATCTGAAAGGGAAAAGAGAAAATATGGAAGTTAATGTTTAACTTTTCTTACCTTAGCTCCTCTCAGCTTAGCCTCAGAGCTCAGCTTGATTGACAGCCCACGTGTGTGCTTTTCTCTGTGTGTCTCCAGGTGTTTTTTGACATCACGGTGGCGGGTCACGAGGTTGGGCGGATTGTCATCGGCCTTTTTGGGGAGGTCGTCCCGCTGACTGTCAATAACTTTGTCGCCTTGGCAACTGGGGAGGTAGGTAGGATGGTGTGAACAAACACTCCTATCCTAACTCATACTTATGTGTTATAAAAATGTAGTTTTGTGATATTGGCTGTAACACTGGACAAACCTTCTGATAATTTTTAACTTATTTATCTCTGACAAGAAAATTCTTAAATATGATAATGTTTTAAGTTTTTTTAGCTGCACCCCTTTTGACTTGGGGGCATTCAGTGTAACTTTTGTAACACTTTGGTTTTGTTTGGTGCACATCCATACCAAAATATGACAGTAAATTTCACTGGTCTCTTAAAATTACTTGCTCTAAAATAAGTATTTGAGTGTCCTTTGGTCTGTGATCTGCATTCAACCCTCAGATCAGCTCATAACTTAATTTTGGTGCAGTAGTAGAATCGTAGTCTCCTAAGCCTCTGGTCTCTGCAGAAAGGTTACGGCTACAAAGGGACAAAGTTTCACAGAGTCATCAAAGACTTCATGATCCAGGGGGGAGATTTCACAGCTGGAGACGGGACCGGAGGTAAGATTGAGACACGGAGTGATAGAATAATGTCTCCTGAACAGGTCCAACACTCTGATTCTGTGGGCTTATTTCATGTAGGACTCAAACCATTTAATCCACTTTCCCTATTTACATGTAAGTGTTCAGAACTGCCCACACAACCTGTTTCATGTACACAGCTGTCAACACTAAACTGATATGCATTAAAAAGCAGCAAAATTTAGAAGTTTCAGTGATGAGAATTCTTTTCATTCAGACTGGATAGCCTGGTTCAAGCGGCCATTTTGTTTCTTTTCCAGGTCACAGCATCTATGGGACCACCTTTGCAGATGAAAACTTCAAACTGAAGCACCTGGGAGCTGGCTGGGTGAGTATAAGATCTGAAACCTATGGCACATCAGAGAATTATAAAGAAAAAATGTAATTCATTTCTCAGCCTTGGTGCTGTCAGTGTTTTTTTTAATAACAAAGATCTTGCTAAGTACTTGAGCCGAAAAAATCTAAACTTGAAGCATCATAACAACAATGTAAGGTGTTGAATTGCAAGTTTGTGTTTGTGTGTGTGCGTGTCTTTGTATCAGGTGAGCATGGCGAATGCTGGCCCAGACACAAACGGCTCCCAGTTTTTTATCCTGGCAACCAGAGCTCCATGGCTGGACGGGAAACACGTGGTGTTCGGTAAAGTCCTGGATGGGATGGTGAGTTGAGCCTCAGAAATCTGCTGCATGTTACGCCTAATGATGAGAAAACTGTTAATGTTGAGGTTCAGTTACAAAGTCCAAACCACAGGAGGTCCACCTGCTTTTCTGCGCTGACTTCCTGAATAGATTCAGGCCCCGCTCACCAAAGAAACATTTCAGGAAAAGTTAGGTGGGAGGAGATTTCATGAGTCCAGCCCACTTTTTTAGAGAAGTCTACATAAAGGGATATTTCAGCATTTTTGAAGACTTGTATTAGTCAATGGATGTCAGTCAGCTCCACCCTGTAAATAGAAAACCACTAGCAGAGACGGGACACTGGGTTGGCTACAATGATCTGCTAATTTTAGTAGAGCATACACTTAAACTAAGATGAGTGCTTCAGTTTGAGTCCCTCAAAATCAGCTAAAGTATGAGTCATCAATCCTCTTTCTTTGGTCTCCACCATCAGGCTGTGGTTCACACCATCGAGCTCCAGGACACAAATGACAGGAACCTGCCATATACCGAGTGTGTGATCGTCAACAGCGGCAGGATCCCCGTCAAAGAGCCCTTCATAGTGGAGGTGGAAGGCTGGTAAAAGACACCAATACTGTAGAACAAAGATAATATGTTATATATTATAAACTGCAGATCAATCAGAGGCCCAAGTTACCTGTTTAACATTTTCATATCAATACTTTTGCATGTTCATGTTCCACTAACAAGAAGGGCTGAGAAATATTTTGCTACAGTACCTGACTTTAAATGTTGATCCCACATACTCTGGACAGGGATGCTGCCAATACTTCCATGCTGGCGAGCCCTGAAAACACAGAGTGGAGAGGCTTCTGATCTATTTCTACTATATGTAGATATGTTACAAAATTTTCATGAAGTTTAGGGATGGTCAGTGATGTCTGACCGTCCCTAAAGAGAGGGACAATTTTTAACAAATTTACATGACAGTTTATTGTTCAGCCTTTGACTTTAGCCAGGTCAGAAATCACACCAGAAACAGTTAAAATCATAAACTACTTGCACAGACAAATTAGTATCTAATAATGCTTAACCTAAGATCTCCACACCTGCAAAAACGCCACTTTTATAACAAAGATTCATATATGATAATGTAGCAAGTTGAAAAATAACATATTTTTGCTTTTCTAGCCTTTCTAAGGTGTCATGAGACTTTGAAATGATTCTGTGGTGATCAGCTGTAGAATTTATTCTGTAGATATGTCACGTAGAAAACATCACTGAATGAAAAGAAAAGAACATGCATTGCGAAGTGTTGTTGTGCACAAGTACCTGATTGGATTATTTTGGATCATTTTGCATTGAGATAATGCAACTATGCCATTCAAAGATGCTGTATTATACTCATATCAAGTTTAGATCTTCAATCAGTAAAACCTCTTAAGTAGCTTTGCATAATTTCAAATCCCCAAAAGTCATTCATTTAACCCAGTGACTTGTAACACCAGTTATTTTGTCTTCATTAAAGAGGGGTTATTATGCTTTTTTTAAGGCCGTGAGTTTACCTTCTGACAGCTTTGTGGTAGCATGATTTAGAGCTAAAGAAATCTTTACTCATTCTAGATAAGTGTCTTTGAAAACTCTCAGCCTCAAAAACATTTAATTTTAGTGACTGTCACTTAGAGGTCCTCCTATTACCCTGGAACCCAACACTCAAGTAGCCTTCTTCACTGTTGCCAAAATGACAAATAATGAAATATGGCCAAATGTGGACCTGACTTGGTGAGTTAGTACAGAGACATAAAAGGAGCCTATTAAATAAGTTGCATCTTATGCAGGGGTGTTAAGTCCACACTAAACCATATGTTGAAACTGATCCGTTTGTAATTTTAGTTGTTTCATTGTAGCCTTTAATTGCACCTCAGAGATGTAAGGCTCATTGTTGAGCATTTCGTCCAAATTAACCAACATATTGTGGCTAAAATTAGATTTTATGTCCTGTGGCCAATCACTGAAAAGCTGTTTTTGTAACTAGGTGTTTGTTACAGCGCTGACTCTCATTCATGATTACCTCTAACCAGGCTAACAGTTGAAAATAAATGTTAATTGGTGGCAATTAACCAACAGCTACATACAGATGTATAAAGTACAGTATGAGTAATCTAACAAGCGATAACTAAAGCCTGTATCCTTAATCCACAGTTAGTGTAAGAAAAGAGCAAAGAGCAGTGTAATTGTCCAGAACATGCACTATTAGTGAAACTGGTGAAATAATCTTTGCTTGTTGTGAACAGGAAAAAAAATCAGCTTTTTTGAGAGAGACAAAGCAAAGGGTGATCTGCAGCTGTGGTACTTTTAAAATCATCTGCTGCTAATCATCCTCCATGATTTTGCAGCTGCCAAAGTGCTGCGCTAGGGCAACTGGTGTTTTAAGAAGGACCACACACCATCTTATCAGAAATAGCTGTAAAATTTCAAATGTAATGTTATTTTTTCAATTTTGATTTTATTGTTTCCTTCAAAAACAGCAACTTTGTAAACATTTTTAGATGTAATGTTTTTGAAGTTGAATCTATCTCAGCTGGTATAACCCCCTCAACATAAATTGTAAAGTCCGTCTTTAATTAGTAACTTTGTTTTAACTAGACTGGGCTTGAACTTGTAATGGGCTGGGCTTGTCCATGACAACTCTGCAATCAACCTCTGGAGATTTTGGTTAGTGTCTAATTTAGGCTCCCCTCCCTAAAGCCCCTTTCTTCTGAATTGCAAGTTCTCTCGAAGTCTGCCTGGAGACAACCAAGGCAGACTTATGATGTCATCAAGTACCTGCAATAGAAAAAATAGGGATAAAGCAGAAGTTGAGATCAGACTAAAGAGTGAGGGGTGAAACAGACGAACGTTAACCTACTGGGCTCTATTTTCATGCCCCCCAGTGGCGCAGCACAGGGTGGCGCACCCCACGCAGTGGTATTTTAATCCAGTGCAGCCCGGTACACAGACAGTTTGGTATTTTCGTAGACTGAGGTGCACTGAGATGCCCCAAGCTGAGCATGGCGGCACAGTATGGGGGAGGTTTCGAAATTCGCAATACACCTCACCGGTGAGGGATCTAAAGTTGAGGAGAGGAGCTGATGTGATTGGTGAAAACAGGACTCAGCTGTGTTAAACCCACTCAACGCCTTCCCCCCTCCCTCTTTTCTACATGTGCTGCTGGGAGGAGCTGAGATAGGGAGGCGGTGTACTTGCGCCAGGCTGCAAAGTGTGCTTAGGTATGCCCCATCAGCGCGGCGGACCTTACTTACGCCACGCCTGTGCCACACTGCCACTGAGGCATGAAAGAAGAGCTCGATGAGTTAAAGCTCTGTCTGCGTTTAATATGAATATTTACATTTTTAAAACACATAAACAGTATGTGGATGTCAAAAATACAAAACAACATACTACCCCCTCATTTAAAGAGCTATTTGGTGGAGATGTAAGGGCTTCACCAAAAGTGAGGGCAGTAGCTAGTGCTCAGTATTTCAGGTTCACTGTAGTTTATGCGAACAGTTTTGTACATTAGCATGCTTGTGTATGGAGCAGATGGTGCCAGTTAGCACCATCCCTCATGACCAAACTTTATAATGAACTGTGGTTCCGACATGATGTGTTCCATGAAAACTTGAACTAAATGAACTGTGTAGCTCCTCATGTATCTATCAGTGCCAAATCGTACTTTATTTGCCAAATTTTCCAGTATTATATATGCATCTCATGAATAACTAAACCAACTTAAGAGTTAACTAATATATGCAAGCAAAAAATAAATAAATAAGTACAAACCCTGTAGCAAGTGTCAAATGCCATTGTAGCACTATAATGTTTTTTGTTTTTTGTTTTTTTTTGAGAATATCTTCTCCGGCTGCGTTATGCACTGTATCATATTTGCAAAAACTACAGCACAAGTTGCACTGGAGGAAAATGTTCAGATAAGTGGTTATTAATGATGAAATCTAACTGTTCTGTCCTGTAATCTGTGGTATTATATCTTTTGTTTTTTGCTAACGCAAAGTCAAAGATGTCATCATGTCTTATAATGATTTTGTGATTTGATTTGACCTGAAACTCTGATTTCACCCTGTGAAGTTATAACTGATATCCCTAATACCACTGAATTAACGCTGCATCTCTACCAATCATATCAGATGGTTTTTCGTTATTTATAAAAACAGCAGAAGAAAAGTGCCAACAGTTGTATTTTCTACAATAAAGAATAAACTGTTGAAATATGACTCTGGTGTCTCTGATTTATAATGAACATCAAAGATTCTCCAAAGATAATACAAGACAGCAGCTCTTTTCAAGGGTATAATTAGGATATGTTGGTTATAAGGTACAAGTTTCCTTTGATCCATTTTTTAAACGTAAAAATGTACCTTTTTGCAACAAACTAACATTTAAATCCTTGAGGCATTTAATTAAACTGAGGGATTAAAATTTAAAAAATTGTTGAATCTTTGTGGTCACCACATGGAACCACTCATCTTCTCATACTAGCTGTGGTGTGCCACAAGGTTCAATTTTAAGCCCACTTTTATACTCCTTATATGCTTCCACTTGGTCATCATCACACAATCTATTTCTTGTTATGCAGACGACTTATGGATAAACCTGTCCTTGAGACCTGGTGACCAACAAGGCCACACTGCTGTCTCTAACTGTCTCAAGGATATTACTCGATGACTCAAAGTTCCCTACTACTTGTCAGCAGAACTTATACTCTCAAACTCACACATAGCTCAGATTGAAAGTTCCCTTGGTCCATTATCAGCAGACATCACATTGTCAATACTGGTATCTTAGGACACTTACACTCAATTTTGGGGATGCACAGTATCAGTTTTTGCCACTGATTTCAAAATCATTTTGGCTGGCAGCAGTGCAAATGCTACCACACCCACAGGCTGGTTGTTTTATATTCGATGATGTTGATGCTGAGCTCCATGTATCTTCACACCAGAGGGAAAACAAGGGAAATCTGAATAAAAATTTGATAACATTGTTGCACTGCAAAAGCCCAAAACAAATGCTCTTGTCTGATTTGGTACAAAAAAAGTCTTACCAGACTTCAGATAAACCAAACCATTTAATAAAAAAAATCCAAATTAGCATCTTATTTACAGACACTATAGGCCTTATGCCTATAATGAATAAATCAGTGTGTTTACAGAGTTGCATAAAGTTGCTTGTCAAGTTTTTTGGAATCAGAGTAATGTCTTTATTCCTGTTTCTTTACTTAAGAGTCACGTTTAATAGATTTTGGTAGATATCTCATGAAATTAGTAAAATCTGTTATCTTGTGAGTTGTGTTTGTTTTGTCATTGCTCCCCACACAGCTTAACATCAAAACTTAAATATTTTCACCATCTGTTTGGATCTAAAAAACCTTTCAGTGAAGGCTCAGCTTCTATGATACGCTTGCAGTTATGAACCTGCTGAGAGTAAAAATAATGCAAAAACTTGTCAAAGTCAGACTCTAACTTTTGCCTGTAAAATGCGAAGACCCATCTCTGTCTCTTGTTTGTGCCAGTCTGGGCCTGCAGGCCGCAGTTTGAGGAGCATTGGCGTTAAACGGTGTAATTATGGTCGGTAAAAGGTGAAGCTGCAGCGAGAGGCAGAGAGCTGACAGCTGATCTCTGAGCGCTGACACAAAACTGCTGCTAATGAGAACTACAGCGGGTGATTTGTTTTCCCCTGTTCTACAAAATACACACACACACACACAGACATACACACTGATACAAACAGATAAACAGATTCACACACACCTTCACACACACAGGGGAGGAAAACAACTCTGAACACAAAGGTCAGAGCGGAGCAGAAATCTCAAGAGGAAGACAGGACGTCGACAGAAAACAGTGAAATGTTTCAGCATCTTCGTTCCTCTGAAAAGTCAAAGCTCCACAAATGAAGAAAATAGTCTAGATTTACACTCCGACTCTCTGCTGGATATTTCACAGCAGCTAAAGGTGAGCTGCAGTTTGAGTCCCTGCCTATTTTTAAACACAACCAACATTATTTAATCTGCTTTTCTCTTAAGCTGCATGAAGATTTATGGTTCAGACACTCTTGAACGAAATGTCTTTAAATTTAGCACAGACATGGCCACAAAGATGACCTGACTGAAATCTTTTGGTTGAAGGGTACAGGTCACAATCACTGCTACAATCTCTTGGCTCTATTTTATAGAGGTATATTTCGTCTGGAGCCCTTTGTCTCAAAAAAACTCACTCTGTTGGAGAGTGCATGAGCAAATGGTTCAACAATCACAGAATAATAAGAGTGAGTGAATTTCATCATCTACAGAACATTATATTATTAAGAGATTCAGAGAGTCTGGAGAAATCTCTGTACTAAAGAGACGATGACCAAAACCAAGACTGGATGGTCCTGATCTTCAGACAGGACTCTGGAGTGGAAATCACCGCATGGATTTGAGATAGACTACGGAAAAGTGGAGATCTGTCCTGTGGTCGACGCCGACAAGGCGTTCCAAAGCACAACTTGGTATTTTGGTGAGCGGCGCAGCCCGGCGTAAGTATCCCCCTCCCTAACTCAGCTCCTCCCAGCGGAATAAGTCGTAGCGAGGGAGGAGAGAGGGCATGGAGTGGGTTTAACACAGCCGAGAGCTGTATTGACCAATAACATAAGCTCCTCCCCTCGCCTTTAAATCCACCACGGCGAGGTGTATTACTATTTTCATGGAGTAGTCAAAGAGATCAAGAGATGTCTGAAGACAGTAATGCCACAAGATGGCGACAGAAGGCAGCTCCTCAACAAGTGTCACTGTAAACGCTGCAGAGGGCGTCTCATATAAGCGGCAAGCTTCCAGCACACTTTACACGCCGGTGGCAAGCATGAAAATGTCACTGTGCCAGCTGATTCTGTCAACACCTCCCCCTGCCACTCCACCACGCCCAGCTTGGCGGACCTCAGTGCGCCTCAGTCTACAAAAATACCAAACTTGCTGTACGCCAGGCGCCGCCAGATGAAAATACCACTGCGTGGGGTCCAGCACCCTCAGCCACGTCCCTGGCGGACACGAAAGTAGAGCCTTTGATGTTCTGGATCATGGATACCATGGATAGGGGATGACCCGACTTGTTCTCAGCCCCCAGTTCAAAGCCAGCATCCCTAATGGTTAGGGGATCATCAGAGTCCATGTCATGGGTAGCTTCCACATCTGTGAAGGCTCCATTAATGCTGAACAATATCTACAGGTTTAGCATTAACATCTGCTGACATCCAGACAAAGACTTTTTTAGGAGAGACAACAGGGATTACAACAGCATGGATCTGTAGGAGAAGAGTCCTGAGTCCTGAGAAACTGGTCTGATGCTGTCCTGACTTGTCCCCCATTGAAAACATTTGGAGCATCATGAATTGGAAAAGTTTTTTAAAAAGTAATTGGGTTTTAATTCTTAACCACAAAAGTGATGCAGGGGACGACCTGATCACACACATATACAGTGCCTTGAAAAAGTATTCATACCCCTTGAACTTTTTCATATTTTGTCACTCTACAACCACAAACTTAAAGGTATTTTATTGAGATTTTTTGTCACAGACCAACACAAAGTAGCACATAATTTTGAAGTGGAAGAAAATGATACATGTTTTTCAAAAATTGAAACAAATAAAAATCTGAAAAGTGTGGTGTGCATTTGTATTCAGCCTCCCAGTGTCAATACTTTGTAGAGCCACCTTTCGCTGCAATTACAGCTGCAAGTCTTTTAGGGTATATCACTACAAGCTTTGTACATTTAGAGACTGAAAATTTTGCCCATTCTTCTTTGCAAAACAGTTCAAGCTCAGCCAGATTGGATGGAGAGTGTCTGTGAACAGCAGTTTTCAAGTCTTGCCACAGATGCTCAATGTGGTTTAGGTCTGGACTTTGACTTGGCCAACACATGAATATTCTTTGATCTAAACCATTCCATTGTAACTCTGGCTGTATGTTTAGGGCAGCGTTTCTCAAAGTGTGTGGCCCGCCCCCCTAGGGGGGCACGGAGCCATCCCTGGGGGGGGGGCGCGAGTCACCCGGCTACAAATAGGTTGGTGTGCACCTGCGATAGCGCGGCACCTCCTGTGCAGGCACCGCGCTCGTCACGCATGCGCCACACTGAACTCGCCACACCAGTAGGGGGAGTCCAGCGCCCTAAACCCTGTTTCTTTATTTTACTGCGAAGAAGCAGCGTTTGTTGTGGTGGACGCTCAAGGCGAGATACTTGTCAGGTGTTGTGCCGTAGAATGCACCCCTGCCGTAAAATGCCCCCCCGACGGGAGTGCGGTTGAAAGTACTTAACAAGGCGAAAATAATTCAAGTTTTCCTTACCATTGGATGATCTAAAAAAGCGTTTGCCTTTAATAATTTCATTCAGGCTATTCAGATAAGCCGAAAAAATAGCCCTCTGATTTGGAATATTTGCTGTCCCGAAAATATAATGTTCGCTAGCTTGACAGCTTACTGTACAGTTTATATACCCAAGCACACCGCCGTATGTGCAGTTTTGAGACACATAAAAACAGAACGAAAGTTGTCACGATCAAATACTCGTGTGTTTTTAAAATATGAGATCATTTTCTTCCACTTAAAAGAAGTTAACAAGTGGAGGGGATGCAGGGGGTGCATCTACGGCAGGGGTGCATTCTACGGCATAACACCTGTTAAGTATGCTGCTATCCCCACCTGTACAATGTCCTCCTGAAAGCGTACAAAGACGCTTTCTGCTGTGCTAATTCATGGTGTGAACTAGCTCAGAAACCAGGGTGGAGATAACCACCGACGCCGTGCCATGCCAGCAGCTGCTCCGCTCCTCTCGCTGTGGAGAGCCCCGAGAGGAGCTGAAGCTGCTCCGTTTCGCGTTGTGCAGAGTCCGTGCCGCGGAACCAATGTTTGGACGTCTGAATTTTTTTAGCAGCGGACAACCCGCGCTTTCACCTGTCACCGTAACAACCAGCAACTGTGTTCAGATCAGAATAATAAATTGTATATAAAAGTACAGAATGGAGAGATATTTGACAGGGATGAAAAGAAAAGCTGAAGCCAGCAATACAGCATGCCTAGATGACGGCAGGCCAAACCAACAAAAAGCCAAGTCAAGGAAATATGATGAAGCTATCTTACTATCTTGCTCTTGGATTCACAGGATTTTTTGTACTTACTCAACTTGATATTGTTTGATTATTATTGTTCTTGCAACATAATAATAATAATAATAATAATAAT